AGTCTGTTATTGATAAGTCTTTCCAGAATTTTTGAAAATTCTGTTAGCAGGGATGTAGGTCTGTAGTTCATTGGATCATAACTGTTGTCTTTTTTAAACAATGGCTTAATTTTTTTCCTTTTGAATACATCTGGGAAGACACCTGTACTTTGGGAGTAATTGCAAATGTGGGAGAATGGTTGTACTATATATTAAGCACTTTAATAAGAAAATGTTGTCTAGATCTGTTGAGAATTTATCCTCTTTTTTTCTAATTTTAGAAATTTCAGAGGGTGTGGTTTCTTATAAAAATACAAATTTGATAATTTGTGTTAATTTAATGTTTGGTTGGTGTGTCTTATAGTTTAGATTGTTAGGAGATTCATTTTTCACCAATTTGTGAAAAGTGTTCATTTAATATGTCGGCTATTTCTTGGGGATCTTGTAAAGTTTGGTTTCTGTGGTTGTTAAAATCCTGTATTTATCTTGTTATTATGGGTTGGTGTTGTAGTCTTTTCAATAATATCCCGTGTAGCTTGTGTTTTGTTACATCCATTTGCAGTAGACTTTTCAGTAGTTGGTGAATGATTTGTTCTAAATCTAATTGGTTCAGAAAGCATCTGAATAAGATTGGAGACAACATAATGTTGTAGAAACTCTTTTTCAACTTCGGCATTAGGGGTTGCAACATTCTTTGTCCACACAATCGAGGGGAAATTGAAATTTCCAAAAATTAGAACAGGTCACTAAGGTGTAGTTTACAGGTAGTTCACAGGTGTAGTTAGTTGGTGTAATTTAAATTTTTGCCAAAGTTTCTGATCTGATTGTCTAGGCTTGGTATCTGGTACTCCTCCAATGAAAATTTGCACATTTTCAATTTTCAATTGCAGCCATAGTGCTACTACTTCAGAGTCATTAAATTTGTGAACCTCTATCACTCTTGCGATCACTTTACCAATCACATCCCAAACATATACAATTACTCCACCACCTTGTCTAAGTGATCCCTTTGCCAAGTTGAGAAATAGGAATAGATATCAGAGTTCAGCCATGACTGTGTAATTATGATTGTGTGGATTCACTGTTTGTACTTCTAAGAGGAATTTGCCAAATTTAGGAAGGAGAGATGTTTGTGTACACAAAATTTCCAATGTTTATTTCCTTTATGCTTGTTGCTTTTTGATGTTCCCCTTGCTCATGATGATTTGAGGAGGTCAATTCTTATATCTAATGGTAAGATTAGTCTGTCTTTTTTTCTATTCAACAGTTTTTTTTCTAAGATCTTTCATAGGGCCTTTGCATAGGGGTAAGATCATCATAATACTCTGATGTAATTCAACAAAATATCCTGAGTAATAGACTTCATGCTGTACTTACATATACCTTCCTACATTGAAACCTCTTCACAAATGCCATTATTCCAGACAAGCAAAACACAAATGCTCTGGCGTAGCTCCCCGTGCACACCTCCCAAGTTCACTGGCGAAGGATCTTTGACAAATGACTCTTTTTTCAGAATTTTATTTGCTGAAAACATTCAGTAAGTACTAAAGCCATTACACCATTTATTTGTGTCCATAAGATTCTCTAAGTCGTCAACAAAATGAATAATTAATATCATGGAAAAATTTTATTGTAGCAGATTCAGCATATGTTGCACTATTTTCCCCCATAATCACCAACAGAAACGAGCCATTTGTCATACTGTTGGATAAACATTTGTATTCCTATATGTAAACGTTTGCTGGGATAGGTACGTGTTGTTTGACAATTTGATAGTCACCTGCAACTTTGCTCACTGTGGTATATATAATGCTGACTGGACAGATATTTCTTGAAGTTTAAGAAAAGATAGATTGGGGTAGATCCAGATTACATGGTAGATGTTCAGACACCTCCCAGCGGAACTGCTGCAGCAAATCTGTTGTGAACTGAGCCATGTGTGTTATAATCCAGATCTTATAATCCATATCTTATAATCCATATCTTATAATCCAGATCTTATAATCCAGATCTTATAATCCAGATCTCATTCCGCACCAGCGATTTCCATCTTGTTACTGTCTGGTCAGCATTACATGTATGACAGTGACACAGTTGAAGACGGCTGCCAAATGCGTGTCTATCCCAAATGGCAGATGTGTACAACCTAGGGATACAAATGTTGATCGCACAGTATGATAAATGTCTCAATTCTAGTGGTGATTATAGTGAAAAAATGTGTAACATTTTCTGTATCTGCTATGATAAAAGTTTTTGCATGAAATTATGTTTTCCTTTTTTTCTGATGGCCTAGGGAAACTTGCTTTGTGGATGCACCTTGATTTATTTGCTGATACATGATGTCTTGTCTTTTATTGTAGACTTCATATTGCAATCATGAATAAAACTTTGCAGTTTACAATAGGCACAAATTAAAAATTGACATTTCACAGTGGTAATGAAAATATTGCTATATTTGGGAGCTTATTTCCTCTAGATCATTGAAGGAAGTTTATATTTCAGTATTGTTTAAATAAAAATAATTCCTGGTTTTCTGAAATTCATGCATTTTAAAACAAGTATTTTGTGGCAATAAGTTTAAGATATACCATATTATTAATTTTGTGTACGTAGTTTTTTAATTTTTATATAAATTTTTCTTGTTAGACATTCAACTTTCACCAATGGACATTTTATTCAGTTTCTTAATATTTTCTCTTTAGCTTTAATGAATCACTATCATCTGTTTATTGGGATCTGTGCTGAGTGATAATAAGATACCTTAGCCTCTAAGATATGTCTATATATATTTTTTATGACTGCATTTTTAAATAAATTATTTGTGCTTTACATATACCCAAAATGTAATTCAGTTTTAGGATGCCATATTTATTTTATTTATTTTAGCACATAGAATGCATTAATCAAGTATATGCCTGATTACACAAAATGCTTTACTTCCTAAAACCATTAGTAGTGCAAACATTATTTGGCTACTTAATTAGATGTTGTTGTTATTTGCTTAGTGCTATAACTCATTATTGCATGATTGCACTGTATCAGAAAAAATATTGCTTTATACTTTTTTTTGTATGTTTTTTGATAACTAAGCATCATTGTTAGCTCAGAAGACATTTTTGATAATACTCTTTCCTGCTTTGCTTTCTGCTTAAAGAATACCATAAATGTGTAATAGTAGATGAGAAAATTTAGGGAGTTGCAGTTCACTTTTATTTTGTAGTTAATGTTTCTTTATGTTAATTTGCATGGTGCATTTGTTGCTTTTATCAGTGATATGAAGTGTGTGTGCTTCATCAATAACACAATTAAGCTTGATTGATTTTTTGGGATTTCTAATTGAAATTAATTGTTCTTATAGAGAATGTTAATACATTATTCATTCAGTTATTGTTACAATGCATCTTTCTAATGTGCTAATGATTCTGCATTGTTTATTATATCACTCTTATTTTGTGGAGACGATTTCATCAATCAAGCTTAGTATTGAGCAATTCAATGTTAATAAATGGTTGAAAGAAGTGGTAATTTTGATGGTTTAGAATTTTTTATTTTTGCTTATCTTTATATGCTACTTGAGTGTGATGACTTGATCTGTGATTGTATTTAATCTGCTAATTGTTTGAAGTGTTGCAAGCAAGCTGGTGGTGGTGGAGCTGTGGTAACACTCTCGTTTCTCTTCTGTTGCATGGCCACTGTAGTGGGAAGGAGGAGAATGCTCTCCAGAACAGATTACAGTCACACCTGTAAGAACACTTGATCTTGCTCTTTCCATGTAGTGTGTAGCTTTAGTCCTCTTTTCTTGGTAGTAAAATCCCTCTAAAACTGGTTCGTAGAAAGGGAAAGTTTGTACAGCACAGCAAGCACTGCAATGCCTGGTATCAACTTATCACTGAGAAAAATCACCTTATTGTGTTTTCCAGTTCTTAGTTTCCTTTCTTTTCTCTTTACTTCCATTCTTTTTAGTTTCTCTGTAGTATTTCTTCTCTGGAGAACGTACTCGGTTCTTTCATCTGTATTTGAGCGCCAAATATTGAAGTGCTAGAGAGAATAGTATATTTTATTTGAGGGTACTTTTAACAAATTTCTTCCATTTACCAATAATACTTTTTTTAACTCTTCTAAAATTTATTGAATTCTAACTAAGATAGTAATAAACCCTAATTTAAAATTTACCCACCTCAAAGTTATATACAAATTCAACAATGCTAAATTAGTGACTACAAGGAATACATTGTGTTCTTTCTTCATGAAAGTTTCAGAAATAGCATATGGGTGGTCTGGGTTTGAACATTTTCAAATAAAAAAAAGTGAATCATCACTTGCTGACATGCTTTTTACAGTATTCAATTAGTTATTGACTAATGTACTTTATTCCCCATAACTGTTCTCAAAACCAATATATTAATGTCTGCTTGTTTGTCATGCTACAGACCTCGTTATCCAATGCTCATGTTACAACTCTCTGTATTTAAGGATTTCTGTTATGTTATAATTTTTCATTCATTGAAGGAGGGGGGAAGAAAAAAAGGGGGGGGGGGGCAAACAACTTTTCATATTTTTAAAATCAGGGAATATTTTAACATTATAATTAAAATTTCAGACTTCGTAGAATTAATTGTATAATTAAATTTCATTTATGTATTAAATTAGAATTTTTTCTTTCCCAAAAATGTAATTAAAGCTTAAATATAATTAATATATCTTTGCATTAGCATATATTCAAATTTTGATTGTATTTAAAATGAGTGAATAACATAACATTTTCATGACTTTTTCTTTCTAATTTTACTCTAATTTCTCCACAAAACTATTTTTTCACAAGGCCTTATGCACTTTACATAAATTTGGCGTGTCAATTTAATGTGCTCTTAGGAATTTAATTTTTTCTTACTTTCATTAATTTCCCATAAATTTCTTTTCATCTCTAAATGAATCTGTTGCTTTGGCTCCTCCATGATCATTCCAGGGCTGTGGATGTGGGTTGCAGGGGTTGTGACTGACTAGTGTTTGTATTGCAGGGCCTGGCTGCGTGGTGCCATCGTGCTCGTGTTCCTCCTTGGACTCACCTGGACATTTGGCCTGCTATACCTGAACGAAGAATCAGTCATTATGGCTTACATATTTACTGTATTGAATAGCTTGCAGGGACTGTTTATCTTTGTTTTCCATTGTGTTCAAAATGAGAAGGTAAGAAGACTTGTAGGCCTGCAACATACAACAACACTCTTGTAATAATGGGAGGGACAATGAAAAAATGGGGAAACCTAATGTAAATAGTTTAATCAAATTAAAGGATATTGCATAATAGTATTTTGTAATTGACAGTCATTGCAATGTACTGTAGATTTTAATATGGTGGTAAATAAAACTGCTACAAAGTATACATTCCCTGAGATTACTTCTTTTGCCATGCAACTGCTCACTTTAGTTTCTATCCAAATCTTTAGTTCTGTTCTTAGTTGCATAGCTTGGATCCCATTTTACTTTGCTAGAAGCTGTACTCAGGGAATATTGTTTCTTGCATCAAACCCAACCACCTTTTAGATTGATATTTGTTTTAATTTAGATATTTCTGTTGTTTATTTGAGTTTACTGTTACTCCTTTTTTCTTTTTTTTTAGGTTCGCAAAGAGTATAAGAAATTTATCCGAAGGCAATCCTGGTTACCTAAATGCCTGAGGTGTTCGAAACGCTCAAACAACAAAGAGAGGCGCTCGAGTTTGTACGCAGGCTCGAATGGGAATCCTTCTGCCCCCAACTCCCACAGTACAGACAGCTCCGCGCTCTCACCTCACGGGACAAGTGTGGGTACCGGATCCGTGCCCCCGCCTCCCCTCTCGCACCACCACAACACCAACCACCACCGACAGTCACAAGGTATCCGGTAGCAGGAGCGGAGGCGCATGAGCTGCCACTAACACCATGAGGTGCTGGGGTGCTGGTGTGGTGCTGTGGTGGGGCTTCTGTAGACAGCCACAATTGCTTCACTCAACTCACGAGTGTTGAGCATATTTAGCTCAACTAGAGAGATTGCTATCAAATTTGCTTAAATTATTTTTCATTCATTTGGACTTTGTTTTTCCAACGAGTAACAATGGTTGCTCATCATTTGGTAACTTAACTTTATTGAAGAGCAAACTCTATTTGAAATGGCTTGTAATACAGTGAAATAGAATTTAAAACACTCAAACAAGGTGAAGCATTCATTACTGATAAATATTTTAATTATATCCATAATCCACAATTATATCACTTGGGAATGCTGCTTCCAGTGGATATTAAATGATGCATGAAGTGTTACGTAATGGTACCTAAAATATTGTAAAAATTTATCATAAATTTGCTTCATATGCTTAGCGTTGCAGTAGCACAATCCGTGGGCTTTAGCATTAACAGTGTTATTGCAGTGGTTGCATGGAATGAGTGTTCATCTGTCGAGTCGTACTACTTGTTTGTATGTACATTTGCAGCTAAACCTCTTGAAACTTTGTTTATCTTAATAATTTATTTTCAAGTAATGCAAACATTCAGATTTTAATTGAGTAGATTTTCAAACATTATTTTAGGATTAGTGAATATCTTCATAAGTTGAAAACCATTATTACATTGATTAGAGGGGTGGGAATTTAGTAGAAACAAATTCATGTAGCTCCCTGCAAGTGAGTATTTAGTGCTAAAACACATTCCATGCAGAATTTAACAATTACTGTTATGATCTTTAAATGTGTGGTTCTATAAATGTCTAAATTCTTCATGAAACAGTCAAAACTACTAACTGAATGTAGATAGGCAATACTGTCAGAATCAGTTTTGTTTTGATTTATTAACAATATGTCTAAAGAAGCGGTAGCTAAATTTTTTGTTTATCTATACTTTGCCCATTTGTCAAGTATAATCTTTATCATAATGCTTTTTTGGACCACAAATGAAAGGAGTATGTGTGCATGCGCGCATGCGTGCGTGCATTCGTTTTTAGAAAATGCAGGAACCTCCATTTGAAAATTGATAAAAACCAACTTAATCCTTAAAGATCCCAATTATTTACACATTTATAAGTTCAGTTAAACTGAAGATGATGGCCAGCTCAAGAAAACACCTAAGAAACTGATCATTATTTTTCCAAGAATGTGCTGGATGAGTAATTTCTGCACTTTGGAAAGGATCTAAAATTGAAAGACTAGGAAAGTAAACTTAATTCAGTAATCTGTTCCATTTACAGATGTGAAAATGGCACTAATATAATTCTAAAAACCGATAAAAGATTTAAGCATATGACCTTTAAAAAAAGCTAGTAACAAAAAATTTGGACAATCGCCCATCCCCATTTAGGGATTACTTCAATTACAGTTCTTTTCTTTTTCATTTCATGACAAAAGATGACGTATAGAATAACTGGCAAAGTCATGTTTTTAGTACTCATAACAATTTCCCTGTAAACTGAACATCCATAGATTTCAACTGTTGTGGAAAAGGGCTGTTTTCTTTTAAAAGTAGAAATGATTAATGTTATTAATGAACAGTTTGATGAAGACTGCACTTATCTAAAGATGACCCTTGTTATGATGATCTGGATTCTAATGGTTTGCTGAAGATAGATTCAGTACTATTTAAATACCCTGAATTTCTCTTTATTATTTTTTTAAATATTTATTTCTATAATAGATGGAAAATAGATGTCCTCATAATTCATCTACAATTTTGTGCCATTTTAATATTGAATACTTAAAAGATTCCCTTTCGTCAGGACAGTGTTAATATTAAATGAGAACAGTCCTGTTTTAAAATAGAGAAGAAAAACTTATGGCATTAAACAATAATTCATAACAAAAATTATCACGTTTAATTTATTAACATTTAAGTGGAATTTAAAGTAGGGTAAATGCTGAGATATTTGAATTACTTTTCATTTTTTATATATTTATTAATTTGTGTAATTTTAAGGTGGTTTCCTATCCCCTGAGCTGCATACATTATCTTATTTACTGAGTGAAGCAATTTTCCAGCATAGTTTACTTTGAAAATTACTTATCATTTTTAAACTCAGAAATTGGCATATATTTCATCTTCTGAGGAGGAGGGGAAAAGAAGAAGGAAAAAAAAAAACAAAAACATTTAGAAAAGATAACTTTCGACCGAAACATACAATCTTCTAGTATACACGTGATAAAAAGATGTACAGAATGAACAAAATATCACTTCAGAGCAACCATTTCAGTACACTTCAAAACTTTTTTGGGACTACATCATATATTTCGAGTCTTTTAAAATTTACTCTTAGTTCCCTTACACAATAACACATGCCTCATGGTTTCCTAATTAGAAAGTGATGTTGGTACAATATCTGACGTAGAAATAACAAAAATCACCTCTCGGCAATGGGAAGAGCAAAAACAACACTACTGTATGAACAAAATTTGGCATATGCCCCAACGTTTGTTCTGAGGATTCTAAGAAATTCTTCAAAGGTACAAGGGTCTCAAGAAATTTGCTTCCTGCATCTTGCTTATGAAGAAGTGTTTAGTTATTTTACTATAATTACTCCTGTCAAGGAAATTTTCTTACAGTGTCAGTTTTGTGAATAATGTTTGATTAATTTTAAATTAATTTGTGGGTGTGCTGATGGATGACATCTCATTGATTCAGGATATCGGTGGTGGTGTGCTGAAGGATATGGCAGCTTCTATTTTACAATATGATTTTTAAAAACATTATTTATTATGAAAAGAATTAATAAGCGTGCATTAATTGGGACTGAAGATGACTAGTCTTTTTGAACTTCAAATTCATCACATTCAAGAGTTTCAATTATATACAAAATGACTGGGTGGGAGAATATGAATACACTACAATCATAAAATCCTTTTTTCTATTATCACATTAATTTCACACAGTATATAGTGGTAGTGATTAAATTATGTTTCTGTGGCCTGCTTGTAATTGCAGCCATAAGTTGCGAACACCAGGAGTTTTCATTTATTTAGCCTGTTCTGTAAATGGTTATATGGTTTGTATGAGAAAAAGAATAGAGAGAAGACACATTCATTTCTTTCAGAAAACCTCTTTCGACATTTTGTTTATGCAATTTGTTCTGATGTGAATATTACACATTTCACACGTCTGAGTCGTTCATTAGAGCTATAGTTGACCAAATAGAGGTGATGCCACGCCATGAGAGATGCAGTGAAATGAAGCAACCTAGGCATGTGGACCTAGGTTTGTTCCACAAGTGTAACATGCGTAACGAGGTAACCTGAGTGTTTAGACTGCTGGCTCTGGAGGTGGGCATGTGCAATAGGCAGTGGTAGGCTGGGGACCATGACATGTCCGTGTTACAGTACCTGCTGCGCCGGGGGTGGAGCTCGCGCAGCAGCCGCGGACGGCCCGCGCCCAGCCCCGGCCCTGGGCCCAGCCGGCCCGGCCGGGCTGGCGCTAGCGCAGCTGGCGCAGGCGGCCAGGAAGTGGAGGTGTGTGTTGCCACCTTGCCTTATACCCGTCCCCCTTCTAACCTCCCCAAATCTGCTACTACCTGGGGATCGCTCCATAAGCCTTTGATGTGGAAGGTGAGCCCATGGATTACTGCTACTCTAACCTGCCCCCATGGTGTGCATGCAAGGTAGTGCTTGCTTTGTGCTGCTTGACTTATTCACATGGAGAGAAGGATGTTGCTCAAACTGTTTTTTCTTTCATAACTTACATTAAGGAAACAGTAATGAATGTGAAAGTAATAGATTCATTGTAAATTGAGAGCAACATGTTTGACTTATTTCTTTCTTATAAGAGGTCCTTGTGTAGATGTGTATGATTTTTCCATGTATCTTTGTGTTCACTTGTGGCTTCATTTTGTTTAATGTTCATTTGGTTTCTTCCTCTCCAGAAGAGATTCAGAATGTTCCTTTCTTGTTTCTTTGTATTATTCTCACCTTCAGACGGCATGAATTGTAAACTCTTATTATGTTTCATTCATCAGAAAAACAAAGAATAACTAAGATTGTTGTTTGTCATTGTTTTTTGTTTTTTAATAATTATCAAGTGTTTATTGGAATTAAAAATAATGAATGTTGATTTGGATTTCCCAAGAAAATTTTTATGGAATAATTTTTCTTTCAGTTCTGTAATTTGTGTTCGTTGTATTGTGAAATTAGATTAAATAGTTCAAAGCATCTGCATTTTTGCATAGTTCAAATATGTCATTGATTTTTAACAATTGTGACACTTTTACTGCTATACAATTCATAGTTGTTCATTTTCCCCCAAATACAAAAGGCTGTTTTTGTTTCTTGTGATGTTCATTTATGAGAAATTGGACCTAATCTTTTATTGAATTTTTCATCCAAATGCAAATTTTAAGACGATTGTCTTTATTTTTTTTGCCTTTTCTGTTCTGAATTTGGATATTATGCAGTCTTCTATCAAGGGAATTATAGTTGAATATTCAGACTATATAATGCTACAGTTTCCCTTTGTAAACATGGTAGTAAGTTCATTATCAAGTTAATATCAGTTTGTAATGTTTGTGGATCTTTGCAGTGATTCCAATATCTGTAGATTTAGAAATAAAATTTTGCAGACCCTTTGTGATATAAAATATTTGTTAATCGTTTTGAAACAGTGAGTGACTGTCTTACCAAAATCTTAACTCTAATCAAAATTGTTTTTCTAAAAGTAATTTGTATTTGTTTAATGATTTTAATGTTATCCTGTAAATGTTTACTAAAAATATGAAATTTTTCTTCCATTGAATTGTGAAAATTGTTAGTTTTCTTTGAGAAAATTAGAATGAATATTAATTACGTAAATTTTTATTTCAAAATAATATAACTTTAAAGCTCAACTCTTTGAAAATGTAGTTCTGTGTAGGTTAAAATGTGTTAAATACCTCCCTAGAGATTGTTTCCATTTCATGTACTTCATTGAGTTGGTGTTGGTAGTTGTCTTGCACTGATGGAAATCCTTCTGTTTTTGAACTTCGAATGTATTTTTGATATTCCTAACTGTATTGAACCTACTTCTGTTTTGTTGTGCATGTATTGAATGTTAAAATGAAAGTTATTTTCTTGGATACAATGTCTTCACTAAAAGTTGCACGTATTCGAGTAAGAAATAGTTGATTTCTTATTTGTTCAATTCATTACATTGCATGTTAACATGTATATAAGACAGTGAATAAAATAGAAATATTTAATGATTATTAATTACTTTGTGCAACTATTCGTGAAGACAAAGAATTGTATGTAGTTTTGTTTCTAGTTTTTATGTATTAATTATTTGGTATTGAAACTGCAAGCAGATCCCAAATGGAATATATTTATTTTAGATTGTAAATAAGTAAACTAAGCTAGTATAATATTAATTTATGTAAACTTGACTTACAATCTTATGTACTTTCTCCACAGAACATTTCGTTTAAGTCATACAGTCGAGATTCTGGTCACGGTGGTTCAGAGCAAGAGGATTCGCCTCGATCACATACTACCACCACTCTTAACAGCTTGAACAACTTGCGTATTTTGAACAACAGTAAGGACACTCGCCGCCAACCTTATGTGCCCGCAGATTACAATCAAGGAATTACTAATGATTTGTCTAATGCAGGACACAATATTCCTGTGGATTCGGAACCAGTTTCCGAATATTGTCATGAGCCACAATGTGAAGAAATCCCTGTAGCTATTGGGTCTCCTACATTGCAGCTTCATGTACCTGGCAGAACCACAAAGAAACCCAACAGTACAAGCAACCTTTTGCGCTCAACAAGTCCATGGAACCATACTTACACAGAGATTCGAGAGGGCAAGGTTCCATCCATGTCTCATCCTCACCCTCATTCTCACACGCTTAGTCATAGCCACCTGCATTCAACTGTGCCAGAGGATGATCCTGTGTATGAAGAGATTGAGCGCAGTGAAATCCAAGTATCGGATATGAGCGATGAAGATGGAAAGCGACAAAGCGATGTCAGTCGCCAGTCTTCAAGAAGTTACGGGGATCACCGACCGTTAATACCATACAGCCCTGCAGCTGACCGCAACTTCCACACTTGCCTTGATGCTGCTTTAAAGCACAGGTTGAAAGAACATGGACGTCATCTGGGTCCCAACAGGGAGCCTCCAGGGGATGTTGCAGATGCTGCTCACTATTTTCCTGGTCACACTCAATACTTGTACACCGGGGAAAATGCCAGAACTGTGGCTGTGCTCGATGGTGAAACAGTTGTCTGTCATTTACAACCTGATCGTGACATGTACTCTCATAATCCATACAATTCTAGAACAGTACTTCCTCCATATAGTGAGTGTTAATAGTGACTTGTGTTGATATGACTTTCACTTCTGTATGATACAGGAGTTAAATGGCATTTGTGTACAGTACGAAAAGTGCCGCTTTCTAACTCTATTTTTGAGTGTGCACTTACAGACTTGTATTTCACCAGGTACTCGTCGAGCATAAGCATTGAGGTATCTGGTGGTAAAGTGGATATTCAGTTCAAGGCGCTTCCTAGCGAGTTCTCATGAATACATAGTGTTAATAAGACCACAAAAGAAAGTTACTGCTTGATTTGTAATTCCTGTAATGCCTTAAAAGCACAGTCGATCATACGAGTGTTCTATGTAAATAATGTATATAGTGCTTTGTACATGTTGGAAGCCAGCAACAGCCCCACTTCTGTGTCATGTTGATTGAAGTAAATAAAAAAAATAAACCTGTGATGATGCCATTGAATAGATTGGGCTCGATGGCTTAATGCCTCTTGAAGACTGTTAATTAACTTGTAAGTACTGAAATTATGAACATGCACAACCATTTGAAAATAAATTATTTAAGAGTTATCCTGTGTGTTATTCTTGCCCCGTTTCTGCCCAGAATATACTATTGAATATATTCAATTGTGTGTGGTATTTAATTTAATTAAATGGTTATATTGACAAAAATTAGACATTAATTTTTTATTTGTGAAACTGTTAACGACAAACATTAGAATTATTGGAAGTACAAATTAAATTGTACATGAACTTGTATGTGTTTTGTAATGCCTTAATTTGATATTTTGTGTGGTTTCATTGTAGGTTAGTGAAAGTGAATTTAAAGTATATCCTCTCACTTGCGCACGCACACACACACTTCCACGTGCATGCATTCACTCCACTCACACCACATATGTGGTGTAAATCGATTCAAGTGATTTTTGGAAGATATCTATCTCATGTTTACAAATATGTATTCTGTTCTGCATAGCCCAGTGCCGAAAAATTGAGATGATCTACAACAACTATGGTTATGTTGGTCTAGCACCTTTCTATTCCTAGGAGAGGAGATGGTGTATGAGCCGTTAAATGGCAAGCCGTTAAATAACTAGTTGTAGTTTCTTGCTAATTGCAAGACCCAAGCCAGTTATATAAACTAAGCTCCTGTAACATGAATTAATGGTTTGTAAATATTTACGTTCCCACAGTGTGGCCCATTGATTTCAGGGGCCCGTAGACAAATTTATAAGCCACCGCCACTCCCCTGCCCCTCCCATAACTTTCTCAGCCCTTCGGAGATTTTTATTTATCACTTATTTATTCAAAAGTTAAAGAAAAATCACAATGGGCAATTGGTACAAAACTATGCCATGCGCCCCTTGGCATTTGCCGACATGTTGCCTCTTGACAATTCACCCCCTGTCCTATGAGTAGCCATGATGTCGAACAACTTTAGTATCTAAACGTCCTTGTCGCATTTAATTATATTAATAATAATTTGCCAACAAAGTAGGTGCAAAAACTGTGCCTTTCATAATAAAAGTTTTGAAAAATATAAGTTTGTAAAGGCTCTACTGTGAAGGAGCACTCATGCTTCAGAAAAAATTATTGAAGGGGATCAAAATTAAATATTGATATTTCCTCTTTGATACACTTATAAAGAACAAAATGACAGAAGACAAGAATTGATTCGAGAATGGGCTCCCTGCATTTCTGGTCCAGATGGCAAGTATATTTTACCTGGAGAAGGTCATAAAAACTTTTTCACACTTGTTTCTATACTATTACAGATTATACTAATCATCAAAAAGAAAAGTAATAATTATTTAACAAAACAACAGTATATAATACATTAGTTTGCATTGAATTGTGTTAAAAAAAAACAAAAAGAAACGCAAGCCTATAACAAGCAATGAACGTAAGTTTCCAGGTTAATGGTCCCCCCCCCCCCATCACGATAAGGTTTTTGTCCGGATTCCCTGATCCATTGAGCAAATGCTGAGATGGCCCATTGTTTTTTTTCTGGACGTAAATGTAGCTTCACTATGTACTCATTTTGTTAAGTTCTCCTTTTGATTGTGGTGGTTGGAATAGAGCTAGGGATGAGTTACTAATTTGTGCACAATGCTGAAAAATTAAATCTGCAGTTCGTTTTCTGATACAAATAAGTTTTCTATAACTCAGGAACAAAAATGTCTAGTTTTTTAAATGTTGCTAACCTCGCGATTTTTATTAATATTTATATTAGTTTTATTTTTTTAAACTTAATTCGACCAACTATTTATTGTTAAAATGTTGGGAAGAAATTCTTGAGCTCACGAAAACGTGCGCAAATAATCTTCTCTCCCCCATACGTCACAAAGTTTTTACTGTTGACTATAATTCAAATTCTTTGAGTATTTTGTATGTATTATCCATGCAAGTTTTCTTGACCCCTCAATTCGCTTGATGCGAGAGGAGTGGGAGGGTTTGTTATTTTGACTACAGGACTGTTGTATCAAATGTGTGGATTGTTTGTCGAAGCAAAATAGTTTCTGTTGCATTGAAGCCAACATTTCTGGTCATCAGATTTTGTCGGCAAGGTTGTTGCTATTATTTATGTATGATTCAATTACTCTTAGTGAGGAAAGGAGAAGGTGTTCCGGACTCTAGAAAACGTGCGCGTACAATACCCAGACCCTGTGCTATCTCCGGTAGGAGCGTAAACCAATGTTATCCATAACTCCTTAACCATGAGTGTAGAAAAGTGATTTCAATCAATTTTAAAGAGTAACCTGTAAAATTTCCTACAACGATTGTGAAAAGCATTGCTTTTGAAATCAATTACCAAACTAGCCACAGCTTTTCAAAGAAAGGCTGTATTTCATTTCTCCTAAATAAGTGCAAAAATATGTGTGATATTATAATCAATTTATATTAAAGGAATAATTATTAAATGTAATACTATTTTTTTTATCTCGTAGTGAGTGAAAAAATTGCCTCATATGTTCCCATTGCCGAGAATATTAATAAACAAAAAAATGGATTTCTGTGTTAGTGTTCCAAATTAACTCATAAACACAGGAACTCTGTCATTTCAACAACACGTGGTATACATTATTCCAAAAGGGAGAATTATACTGTGGGTGTAGACCACTCCCTAGAGGGATGGGTGGGAAGGGAGTAACATTTATAAACCACATCATTATGCAACCCGCGATGTACATATAACACGTAATGGGCAGTGACTGAGGGGCAGAGCTGTTTAATAGATGTTTATGATTATTCCACTTGTGGTGTTTAAATACACTTATAAAATGTCCCAATCAGGGCGGTTATCTAAAAAAATGTTTTTTTAATCCGATTTTTCTTAACTTTCCTTTCTACTGCCTAATAATACGCTATGACTCATCTATCTTAGGGGTCGGTGTGTATCGATCGCTTTGCTGCACAATAAATTGCATATGTACTATAACATAACCTTTTTGATTTTAACATGCTTTCATATATATTCGATATTTGGCGCATTTTGAAACTCTGTTGTACGTAATTTCCCGCTAAGCCAGTTGGGGATTTATTGACAATTTCCAAAGCACTCGTGGTATTACCTATGATACATACCCAGGAAACGTGGGATATTCACCTGATAAAATATGTGTAAATGGTGAATATGTACTTCGCCTATGTAATGATTTTTGAAACTTGGAATCTCTTGCAAAACTGACAAAGTAACCGCACGGTTATTATATGTCCGGACGATCCGAAGAACTATTACGCTACAAAACTACTCTAAAATAAGTGTAATCAATCATTTACCAAGTAGAAAAACGCCACAAATGAAAATGCCTTAACGCAGAAAAAGAAGCAGACCCTACCAATCAGGCGTCCGACGGTCCTCACCGCATACCAATCTTCAGCTTTTTTATTTTGTTTTGGAGCTGTAGTTTGCTTAGTGTTACGTTTAAAAAATGGTCTATACAAAACTAAGAAGGTTTATCCCCTTTAAAATTGGGTGTATTTATTTATCACGATCATTTGTTAAGGTCCCTCCATACATGCGGTATTCGGTGAATGACGAGCAACCGCTCGCCGAATCCCAAGTAGTGTGGACGGGTTGCTCGGTATTCGTCGAGCGCCGACCATTCGTTATTCGCACTCCCCAACGCGTGTCGGTCTTTAGAACACATCGAAGGGAGCGAACATTCGCCGAACACTTCAGCTGTTCGGGATTGGACGAGCGGTAGCTCGCTGCTCGGCGAATGCCGAATGTGTGGAGGCGCCTTTACTCAAGTTAACACGGCCGCTGTGCTCGCTCAATGCGTATTACACGCGGTATGTCCATTGGAGGTTGCATAATCTTGTTTGTAAATGTCCATTATTATTATTATTATTATTATTATTATTATTATTATTATTATTATTATTATTATTATTTGCGTATCGACCATATTTGACCACGCTACATTTACTCTTCCGAGGCCCAGTCATATTCTATCCTGGTGAGAGAGAGAGAGAGAGGTAAGGCAAGCTTGTTAAGCTTTGAATTATGAGGTGATAGGATGATGATGAGAGGTGAGGGGGCAATCATAAATAAAACCATGCCTAAGCAGGACTCGAACCTGCATCCTCGGGATTCGGCGGAAAAACAGTTAAAAACTGTGAGCGACATGATAGGGGATAAATGTATTCTATACACGTTTTCTTAATTCTGGAATCCCTACCCTAAGCCATATATTAGTTTAATTCTAAATACAGAAAAATGAACGATGTAATCAAATCTATTTTCAAGGGTAAATCAGCTATAGATTTGAGCTCTTATCCTTCATTATGTCCTTCGTGAGGGAATATACTTCCTGCCGCGGGAACATTGAGAACGATAATTTGAATAAATATATTTCCCATTTAACTCTAGAAGACGTGCACCGATAATGAAGGTACATTTGTTTCCAAAGGCAAAACAAGGGGCCATTTCAGCATTTGCTCAAAGGATCAGAGAAACCGGACGAACAACCTAATCGAGATGGGGGTCATTTACCCAGAAGCTGAGGTACAATACTTGTTACAGGTGGTTTAGAGTTATACTGTCGAAATGGTAAATAATACATTACATATCATTGTTAAAATAAATTCGACGACTCTCGTTATAGTGAACTCGGATATAGTGAAATTAACTCACTGGTTCCGTTTCACTTACATTACAAACACACACACACAAGAAGACCCGATTATACTGAACTCTTAAGCTCGGCTGAAGTGAACGTAGGAAATAGTACTCGTACATCCTGGAAATTAATTAATTCCTGAAAAAAATATATCGCCTCAGTGCCACAAATTCTAACACTACTCATTTTGTAAAAGTAAAATCTGCCTAAGGTCATAATGGAAGAAGTATCGCCTGAAGTAAAGGTAGCGGACCCGGAATGAGTACCTTACGGATGACCTTGTGCCACTCAGTTTCACTGCGGAAACAAAGGCTGTGACTTGCGTGGGACCACTGGCGTCGGCGACGTGCAACTGCCTGCTACAGTTTCAAGCTTAATGTTACTTGTGATTCCGCGCGTAATGTTCTACGTAGGCGACAGGAAGCGCGCGACTGCCCCAGTTTCACAGCCTGGCGGCACCCGCCGCGCCAAGAAGAATAGGGATGAGTTTCGTTTGCTTCTTGCGCTAAGCCGCTACCGAAAGGATCTCGTATGCTGTTAGGCGAGTACAAAGCCCTTTCGAATGTGGGATGGTATTCCAACAATGCAAGAGGCATTGAA